TGGAGGCTTGTATTTGTACTAAGTCGGTGCTAAAATAGGTTCGACGTACAAAACGTTAGGAACTTCATATAATGGGTAATGACGCAGAGTAATCTAGTTGCGATCGCTGATACTTTAGTATCCGACTAACGGTCGTCTGGCATCGACTGACTGACCCACTGAGCGATATTCAGTCACCCCCACCACCACCACCACGAGGGCATCATGTGGCACAACGTAGCCTCGTTCGGGTTCCTCCCCACCCAAAGGCTGAGAATTCAACCGGTCAGCCGGTCGTCCGACTTCAGACTGAGCGGTATTTAGTCACCCCCTACGAGGGCATCATGTGGCACAAGGCCGGTTTAACGTGGGATCTCTGAGCCCGTAGGCTCGGCCAAAAATATGCCCTTTGAAGCCGTATAAACGGGTTCAGGGTCGGTTCACCTCCCCGAAAGAGACTCCGCCCTTCGGCGTAGCCTCGTTCGGGTTCCTCCCCACCCGAAGGCAGAGAGTTCAACCGGTCAGCCGGTCGTCCGACTTCAGACTGAGCGACCCCTCATTACGCTTACTACTCCTACTTATTATAGGTGGGAGAGTCTATTAACTATAGAATAGGTGTGTTCCACTATAACAGAAAGTGAGTGCATGTATTTCAATTTTCGTGAATTGCAATCAGATCAAATCTTTTTCGATTTGACGCCTGTACAACTGAAGTCGTTATTGAATATGACCTTAAGTGTTTGATCAGTAAACCAACTCTGAGACTGAGAAATAAATTATTCTCCTCGCATAACTTACTGCTGATTTCAAGTTTTCCATTGTTCGAAACCATAGATAGTGAGGTCGATTTTCAATAGGGCTTCCATAAATCTGATTTGGCGCCAAAATTTAATTAATCGCTTTAGGATATTTGGGCAGGGTAAGATTTATCAGCACGGAACGCGTTCAAATTTTGACAGCCTCTCATTTCGTACTAATGCTATTGGAAAAAGTCCATCTTCTCCACCTACTGGTTAAAGAGCAGGGTACTCTACTATTTTTCGCAAGAAGTCATTGTAATTCCCAGATAGTAAATAAAAGGAATCTGCAAAGACCCATGATACCCCCCATAACTAATTTTATGAAAACGCTAGAAATTCGATCGCATCGTGTTTAGTGATTACAATAGTTAAAAGCACAAGGCTTTGAGGAATGCAAATCATGTTTTTTTTTTGTTTTTCATTGGATCCCACCTACCTGAAAATCAGCTCTGAATTGTAACATACAAAACTCAATAAAACAAAGATATTGTTTAATTTCAAATGTTTTTATTTGCTTTTAGTTGTTTTTTATGAATATGGACAATATTTTCTGAAAGCAAAAATTTTTTTCGATGAAAAATGAATTTTTAATATAATTATTTGTTATTTCTTAATTATAATAGATTTTTACATTTAAGTTGTTAAAATATAAAATTAGTTAAAAGCTGCATCGGGTTTCCTAAGTCTCCTTATGAGATAGATCTTTTTTATATGCGTTGTAAATTGTATCGTTTTGACTCATCAGAAGATCCGCAGTAATTAAGAAATGTAACTTTGTGTTTATAGTCGGGCTGTACTTATAAAGTACGGAAGATCAACCAGAATACAATTAACTTGCGTTATTTGAGTTAAGCATTGTTCTCCGCTGTTAAGGCCTTTACTTTTGCAAAACACGTGTGGAGAAGTTAATTTGATTTTTCAATTTCAACTGAGAAGGTTACCTACAAGTATCAGTATCATCTTATGAAATTTATATGATCTTATTTTTATATTAATCTCAGTTATGACATTTTCCATAAATGAAACATCAAAATTAATAATAAAATGAATGGAAATACAAATAAATGTAATAAATGTACATAAAATTATAGTATTTTATGTACACTTCTAATAAATTTTCATATGAAAGGTACCTATAAATTAATTAGATACCTTTCTTATGAAATATGAAATTTAATCTCACTCTTAACAGTCTTATTTTAATTTCTTTATAATATATTTTCCATAAAGCATCGTAAACGTAAAGGTGAAAGCAAAGTACAAAAAACTTACAGCGCTGAAAGTTTTTCTTAATAATAACAAGGTAAATAATTTGTTCACTTAAATATAAATTATTTCACTTTTCTCCTTCCGTAGAACAAATTATCCTCACGGAATCCGTCAATATGTCATCCATCACCTGTCAAGTGACGCAAAAGTTTATGACCTGCTTTGTTTTATTTTCAAATTAGATCTTTTCGGCGCAGAAGCTAAGTTAAGCTTGGTTCAAAATATTTTAAATAAACATTATAATTTCTGATTTTCTTAAAATAAGTTTTCAAAAACTGATAATTGATATTTAAAAGAATTTCAAAGTGAAATTCCAGTTTTTTTATAAAATGGAAAAGATAGTCAATTTTGCTGACTCAAAAAAAACAAGATTTTTATCGAAACTTTTGGACGTGCTAGAAACGATTAAAAATATAAAAAAATACCCCCAAACTCCTTTGATCTTTCCTCTTAATAATAACATAAACATTTAGACGATAAAATTTTGTTTTCTTCAAGTTTGGCGTCTTTTTCATCATGCTATCCTCTTTTTTATAGATCTCGTGGAGGTACCTAAATTAACCCATATATATATATATGTGTGTGTGTGTGTGTGTTTTTGTGTGTGTGTGTGTGTGTGTGTGTGTGTGTGTGTGTGTGTGTGTGTGTGAGAGAGAGAGAGAGAGAGTTTGTGTGTGTGTGTATGCCTCCGTTAGTCAAAGTTGACCATGGGTAGCATCCTAGTTGTCTACTTGGCTGGAGCATCGAAGTCTATGACTGCAGAGGCCGATGCGAGAGTGACAATTTCTGTTGCAGAGGTCGCATGTGTTTTCTGTCTCTGGTCTGTTGGAGCCGTCACTTTGCTTTTTGAGGGCCCGCCTTTCCATGGCGACTTGTGTCAACTTCTCCTCCCTTGACTTAAGGTGTTTGGTCAGGGTTCCTCTCCATTCGGATCGTATGGCTGCCAGGTTCTCCCAGGTCTGTGTTGATGTCCACAGCTTTCACGTTGCGTCTCACGACATCGTGCTACCACAGCTGTGGCCGTCCGGCGGGTCTTCTTCCAGCGACCAGCTTTCCATGCAGGAGGTCTTTGCAGCCGTCTGGCATGCGATGGACGTGACCCAAGCAACGGAGTCTGTGCTGTCTGAGCAGTGTGAAGATGCTGGGCAGACCTGCTCGAGACATGACCTCATTGTTGGGCAACTTGTCTTGCCACGCTATTACCAGGATGCAGCGGATGATTCTCTTATGAAAGATCTTCAGACGTCTTTCTTTCTTGGCGTACGTGGTCCAAGCCTCGCTGCCATATAGCAGTGTGCTGATAACACAGGCGTCGTACACTGCCATCTTGATCTTCACTGGCAGCTTGAGATTGGTTCACACACGTTTTGTGAGGCACGCAAGTATTGTGGCTGCCTTTCCGATTCTCTTGTCAATCTCTTCGTCTAAGGATAGGTTGTCAGGGATGGTGGAGCCAAGGTATGTGAACTGATTAACCGCAGTGAACTCATAGTCATCAATGGTGATGGCTGGTGGTGGTGTTTCGCTACCTTGTCCCAGTACGGTTTTCTTTTTCAGACTGATGCAGGCCTGGGAGAAACGGTTCATTCATGACTGAAGTTCACACTGGGTGTGAATCGCTACTGTCACATAGTCGGCAAAAAGTATATCTATGACAAGGGATTCACCTACTTTGGTCCTGAATCTGAGGCGAGCGAGATTGAACAACCCACCATCTGATCTCGTACGCAGGTAAATTCCTTTTCTTGATTTGCTGAATGCATGCTTCAGAAGCAACGCAAAGAAAACCCCGAAGAGAGTGGGAGTGAGGACGCAGCCATGTTTGACCTCATTGCAGATGTTGATGGGCTCAGAGGTGTTGCCATTGAACTGCACAGTGCCCCGCATGTAACTGCGGAATGACTCAATCAAGCTCTGTAGGTAGGCAGCCAATCTTGGGCAGAATTATGAAGAGGCCTTCTCTGCTGACGAGATGGAACGCCTTGATGAGATTAATAAAAGCGACGTACAGGGGCATCTACCGTTCTCTGCACTTCTTCTGGAGCTGGCGGAGGGGAAAAAACCATGTCTACCGCTAATCTTTCAGCTCGGAAACCACACTGGTAGACACGCTTATTGAGTTTCTGCAGGCAGACCAAGATGACCCGAGCGAAGACTTTGCCCACAACGCTGAGTAAACGAGATACATCTGTAGTAGTTGTGGTCGCTTCGCTCACCCTTGTTCTTGTAGAGGATGACAATCTGTGCATTTCTCATGTCCTGAGGTACGGTTCCTTCTTTCCAGCACTGGTAGAGGACCTCGTACAATGGGAGCAGTAGGGCAGTCTTGCAATGCCTGATCAGGTAAGGTAAATCCTGTCATTGCCAGGCGCCTTCCCTGAGGCCAAGCTGTCAATGGCCTTGCTAAGCTCTTCTAAGGTCGGTTCGGTATTGAGGTCCTCCATGACTGGCAAGCGCACAATGGCATCTAGGGCTGCGGTCGTCACAACATTCTGCCTGGAGTAGAGGGCGGAATAGTATTCCATCCAACTCTCCATCTGTTGCCCCTTGTCTGCGATGACTTCACCAGTGGTAGATTTGAGGGGGTGCTGCTTTGTTCTGCACTGGTCCCATTGCCGTATTGATGCCATCGTACATATTTCTTATGTTCCCTGTAATTGTTGCTGTCTGGATGGCTCTGTCCAGTACTCGTTGGTGCAGCGTCTGGCAGTTTGATGAGCTTTGCTCCTGGCAGCTCGGGTGATCTCCAGGTTTCTCTTACTGGGTAACCGCTTGTATTAGGTTGGTGCAAAAATAATGACGTAATAATATCGTTTTTTGACGTGTTTTTTAACGTCAAAAACGACATTATGACGTCACTATTTTTGCACCAACCTAATATTTTGCAAGAGCGGCGCGCTTGGCCACAATGACAGGAGCCATCTCGGTGGACTTTGCCTCAAATCAGTCATATTACTTTCCGGTCGTTCTCCCAAAGGTGACCAAGGCAGTGCGGTGCATGGTGTCCCACAAGGTTGCCCACTTCTCCGTTGCAGAGTGTCCGGTCCGTGAGGTTGCCAGCTCGTTCTCATACCTCTTGACAAACTGTTGCACAAAGTCTGGCTGGCTCATCTTGCTGACATCAATGCGAGGCTTCCCCTGATTCTTGCCGCGGTGGAACCTCTTGTGCTGGAGCTTGATCTTGCAGCACACCAAAGAGTGGTCTGTATCGCAGTCCGCGCTGTGGTAAGTACGTGTGTGAAGGACATTCTTAATGGCGGCTCGTCTGACCAGTATGAGATCCAGCTGGTGCCAGTGCTTTGAGCATGGATGTCTCCAGGATACCTTGTGCTGGGTCTTGGTCCTGAAGAAAGAGTTGACTATGCACAAGTTGTGGCAAGTGCATAGCTAGAGCAGTCTCTGGCCGTTATCGTTCATCTTGCCGACGCCAAACTGTCCAAGGTACGAAGGCCAAATATCGTGATCAGTCACTCTGGCATTGAAATCTGGGGAAACTGCTGATGGTGGTTTCCAGCTTGTTATAAAACTCGTCCTTGGTGTCCGGTGGGGCAGGGAGTGTCGGGAATACATGCTGACGAGGGTGAGAGGGGATGCGATGGTGCTGAGGCGGAGAGTAAGGAGTCTCTCGGAACCGTTGATGCCTGGTTCTACCGTATTCACCAGGCTGTTCCTCACTGCGTGTTGGCGTGGTTCGTCGGAGCTCTTCCCCTGCCAGAAGCATGTGTAGTCCTTCTTCTTCAGCGATGCAGAGTCAGCCAGACGGGTTTCCTGCAGAATGGCGATGTCCACATGAAGCCTTTTTAGCTCGCCGTTGATGACGGCAGTTTTCCTAAAGTTGGTGATCCTGCAGGTCTTCAGAGAGACCGGTAAGCATAGTCCGGACCTTTTTAGAGCTTATTTCTTTCGTAAATTCTTGTTATAGCCTTGTGCAAAGGTTGCAGTCTGTTGTCGGATGTCTCCTAAGGCAGACCGTGGCGGGACAACACCTTACTGGCTGGGGGCTGCCCAGCTTGAGGCGATGGTAACTGTCCAATGAGATCTGAAAATCTCTCCCACCGACGTGAACAACCCCTGGCGCTGCGCTCTACGCCAATCGAGTGGTAGTTTATAACCGGTAACTGCCGTTTTCCGTATTGTGTCGACGCCAAAAGCGAAGCTGGAGTGTACTCTCCAGGTATAGTGCAGGTTGTTTTGGTGAAGTGTGGTGTGGTCGGATGCAAGCCTGGGCGATGTGATATGGAGGACAGGCTGTTGCCCATGTGGCACGTCCTTCCCAAGTCACCGCTGAGGCCAAAGGAACGACAAGATCACTACAGTTGCCGACCGGTGTTGTTTCAGGAGCTGCCTGAACGGTTTGGGTACAACGGCGAACTGCCTTAGGGATTCCGTATCCGGATTTTTCCTCGAGGTTTACTCCTGAAACCTTTTCTATGGCTGGATATAGCCGCAAGCCAGCGGAGGTTTGAAATAAGGGTTTTCCTCCCCCACTCCTAGGTGAACTGCCTTCCCAGTCTGTCGTGTTCCACCTACCCGAAGCCGTATATAGTTTATCGTCATACCCAGGACCGCCAGGAGGTTAATTTGGAGGTTAACTATTTGCCCATAGCTGAGATCCTATCAGGTACTACCGCCCCGGATCAGGGTGGACATGGGAACAACAGCAACAGCAAGAGATGGTTCCACGCTCCTCAAAACATCCTGATCTTGCTGCCAGATATAGTTTATCGTCTTACCCAGGAGCAATATATATATATATATAGGGGATGAGTGAAGACCAGTGTTGCCCGTCCACCTTAATAATAAGCCGAGCAACAAAGGTACTACTTCTACCACTCCCTCCTCCATAAAAACATATATAATATATATATATATATATATATATATATATATATATATATATATATATATATTACACTGGATGTTGTAGCAAACAGTTCATCAAATGTGCCAATACATCGCTGTACTTTTAAAATTTATTATTATAATTATTATTATTGTTGTTCTTGTTGTGGTTGTTGTGGTTGTTGTTGTTGTTGTTGTTAAAATAGTTGAAAGATAAATAACAAAACAAATTGACTCGTAGTAAATTATTATATATTATTATACGGAACCGTCATATATATATTTGTCCATTTCATAATGTGTAACTTCATTGTTTATATTGGGAAACGCATCGAGCAGATATGAATGTACGAGAGAAAGTCATGGAGAATTGTAGTTTAAAAAAACAGTAAAATCGACCTTGTTAACCGAAACACTCCTCTGTGACTCAATCGGTAAAAGCACGTCAAGCTATATGACGGTTCCGTGTAGGATACAGGGTCGATTCCTGTCGGAGGACGCATATTTTCTATGAAAATTTTTCGGAAATTCAGGCCGGTAAATGTCGTTAATACTGTTTATTATAAACAAATATCCTTAAATGTCTATAATTGGTAACAGAAGCCATTGGTTTATACCAACGGCTTCCCATACTTAATACTTCTAGAATTCACTCTCACGTGGTCATGTGTGACCTCATGACCTGCGGTGCGATTATCGCTTCCTTTAATGATAATGTTATTAAGCTTATCAGACGTTATGAAAAGAATTTACATAAAATAGACAACACTTGTCTATATTATTTAAGGAAACATGTATGAATTAAAAATGCTGCCTAAATATACACTATATATATATATATATATATATTTATATATATATATATATATATATATATATATATAAACGAATTTTAAGACAGGATTTCCCTATACGGAAGCATATAGCTGACATTTTCAAACTTATCCAAGTTATAAACTACAATCTTATATTTACATTCATAACTGCTCTGGCGTATCGAATGTAAAACAAAATCATATATTAAGAAATGGACAAGGTCTAAAGACGAAGATTATGATCTATTTCATCTATTTTATCCCTGTGCAGGTCGAATCCTGTCTATGAACGAATATTTTCTAAAAATACATTGACATCCTTCCATTTGCTTAAAGATTACTAAAAAAAACGTTAAAAAAAAATGTCTTTTATATATATATATAAACGAATTTTTAAGATTTCCCAGCAGCTTTTCAAACTTATCCCCTGCATAACTCTAAAGGAATCTTATATAAGAATATGAAGATTACTAAAACGAAAAAAAAGAAGTTTGATTCAGATGTACAATAGTTGATTTTCTGGATCTAAGTTAACCTACCTACAACATTGAGATTTTTGTCCTCGACATAACATAACACAGCAAATGTTGATATGTCTTTAAATTAACCAACTAAAAACCAAATTCACTTACTGCTCTGCATTTTAATGATGACTTACAAATCACAATTAAAATATCCGCCATTTTACAAACAGTACACTGTCTTCATAGTTTCTTTCACGCTTTTTCTTGCCTTTGTCGCATCACGCGCAATGACGTCAGCACTCGCTGTGGCAACTCTCATGAATTGTTTCGTATGCATTTTTAATTTCCTTTCAGAATTGATACGTATTTGTTGACCTCCCTAATCATGCAAACCAAACTTAATTTAACACCGTCATAGTGTAATCAGTAGTGATGTCACCAACAAACAGCAAAACGAACCTTGTATTATTTGGGCTTCACAGAATTACTTGGTAATATTTTCCCTTTTAAAAGCCTTTTACTTTTTTATGTTTATAGTGAGGCTTCTTGTAAATTGCCTCAGTTATTTTTTCCTTGTCGATATATCTGCGCGCACGCACACAAAATACGCACACAAATATGCACACAAACTCCGCCCTTGGGTCTCTCTCTTTTCTTTCTCTCTTTCTTTTCTCTCGCTGGTTGATACACAATTCATAATTGTAAAATACATTACTCTTCGAAAAGTTTAATAGAAGCAATGATAAACTGATTCTAGACACAGGCTGATGAAATATGGAATTACTTTCCTAATACTCTGGTATAAAAGTTTTTTTTATAGTTCACTCAATACAAGGCCCAAGATCCGCTCAAGGTAGGAGGTTAGTGAGTTAGATTGTTTTAAGGTAGGTGGTTAGAGAAAGTAGTAAGTGTATATTATGAGGTTATGTACGACAGATATCGGCGGACGCTGGACTTGAAGAGGTTAAGATTGAAATCTGTTCGATGAAATAACATTTCTTGGGAAGAATCTGTCTGAGACTTACTAAAGGAATACAAGAGGGGAAACGGATGATTTGCCACCGTGAAAATGAGATGGTGGCTCCTAGTTGCGAAGGTCTGAATTAGTGAGACTCGGAGATGTAACTCGTTAGAACATTTGCCATAGTAAATGCTGATAGATTAGTGAATAAATAAAAAAAAGTTTCATCCGTGTGATAAGCGTCTTGTGAACTAGACAGTAACAGCTCCATTTTTAGTTTGATCTGACTCTTGTAAGAATAAAGTATTGCGGCAAGAGTTAGGTATTTTCTAGAGCGATACAATGAACCAATCATTCTTCGAGTATCTTTAGCAATGAAACCAATATACGAGTCCCATTTGAGGGTGAAGTGAGCTTTAGGCCAAATAGGCATTCGCGCAAGGGACCTTATTTGGGGTATGACTGTTCATTAGGACCAGAGCAAATTCAGGATCTAGATTTGTTTTGGAGGTATTCAATAATACAATCGTGTCTTTTCCCCCAATGAGCCGTAAGAGTTAATTCAAAGGATTGATCGCATATGGCGTGACCCATCAGGCTCGTAGGGGCACGATGTGTACTGCAACCGCGGTAGAAGTGGTGTTTCTTGGGCAACAGAGCCTGATGGAGCCTAATCCTCTCCAGACCGGTTTTGAATTCGGAGTTACCTTCTTCTATACCGGTTGCCACTCAAGGCTATAGAACCCATAGCAGAAGCTATCCTGCTATTTATCCATAGGGTGGGGGAGAAGAGGATTCATACATTTTCTAAGAGTATTAGCACGTAAGTGAATGTAATGGATCCCACTGGAATTCGAACTCAGCTCCCCGATTCCTCAATCCGATTCGCAATCCATTTCTCCAACGAGACCCAGATGATAAACTAACTCAAGACAGTTTCCTACCATTCAAAAGAAGAACTTCAATAGTCTGTGAAAAAATTTGCTTTGGGCTACCATTGTTTTGGCCTTACAGTAAGCATCAAGAAAACCAAAATCCTTGCACAACCAGCCCGAAATACCATCTTACTAGATTTTGATATTACTATCTGCGATACAGGCAGCTTTTATTACACAAGTGCACTCAGAAAAGGTTGTGGAACACAGAATTAGAGTTGCATGCGTGGCATTTTGAAAGCTAATTAAATGCGTCTTCAAGAACAAAGTTCTGAACTTAACAAAATTATGGCCATCTTTGCTAAATGGTTGCGAAATCTGGGCTCTATATCATCGCAGTATCCAAAAATCAGAACGTATTTACCAGCAGAATCTTCGTTCTATCTTGAACATCAAATGGAATTATTATGTGACCAACACCAGAGTCAAGGAGAGTCAACAGTCTAAGCATCGCTGATCATTAAACACCGTCTTCGATGATTAGGACATGTAGCAAGAATGGAAGAATCAAGATTTCCACGTCAAGTCTTATCCAATGACCTCACTCTAAGGAAAAGACCATGTGATTGCTCTCTTCGAAGATACACGGATCAACTCAAAACAACACAGAAAGTCACTGGAGTCGAACCTAAATCGTTTGAAACAAATGCACAAGACCGGAATCAAAAACTTCTCTGACACCAGAAGAGAAGATGAAAATGTCA